GGGCGCGGAACGGGGCCGCGGGTTTGCGGTGTGACAGGTGTGTGGAGGGGAACGGGGCGCTGCGCGGAGGGGCCGAGGCCCCCAGCAGCCTCCCCCGGCAGAAAGCGCATCCGCGGGCGCGCTGAGCCGCGCAACGGGTCCGCCGCCCCGCCGGAGGGTGGGATGCAGAGGGTCCCCCTTGCCGGGGTGTCCCCCCTCCCGCCCCTTCAGCCCTCTCGGTCGCATCCCGGGGGGGAACCGAACGCGCCGCCGCCGCCAGAAAGTTTTTAAAAGCACCTAGAGACTTGTGCAGAGCCCCCGCTGCTGCGGACAGTCACAGCCCGGGCCCGGCCTGTCGGGGCCCTTGTTATTTCCTAAAGTGCCAAGATGGGTCTGGCTTCGCGGGGGATCTGAGCAGGGCTCACTGGCTGTGCCGTCACCAAAAATATAAAAAATCATAACGCCGGATTGCAAAAGGAGAGATTTACTGATGAACCATTAGAAACCAACCAGGGGGACAAAATAATTTTCTAACTGGCAGATCCGTTTGCAAAATTAAACTTAAATTCAGAGATAAAAACTTATATGGAGTTTGTAGCATCCTCTCTGTGAAATTTAGTATCATCCAAAACTGGGCTCTAGTTCAAATCATTACGAATTTTGGTAAAGGCTTTGATTTATTTGCCTGGGCTGTTCCCAGCGTGCGATTCATAAGATTTTATCTAGTGAGTTCATCTCTGAAAACTGCTACAAATAAAACTTTATTCCTGTGGCTGCCCTGCCGAGTTAAACGGAAAGTTGCTCAGACAGAAGCCTGTGAAGCAGCAGAGTTTGGCGGTGGGTTGGGATTTGAGGGGCCGGGATGTTGGCAGGACCAATGGCATCAGACCTCCGGGAGCATCCAAATACCCCCCTCTGTGTCTCTCACATTCAGCAGAGGAGCCGTCTAGAAACCAAGGCAGCGGCAAAAATTATCGTTGTGGTCAGAAAATGAGTTGGAGAGAGAATAAAATAGAAACGAAAACTCTCCTGAGAAGTAGAAAATGAGATGAAACGGAGTGGGTGGAGCCAGAGCCTGCTGGAAGGTGTGCTCTGTTTTACTCCAAGACACTTTTGTCATGTGTCAGTACTGCTGACCTTCCCAACTGAGTCAGGAACTTCTTTAAAAATAGAATTCATATTTTGAAATGTAAATAAGCGTTTTGCATCCTTGCCAGTGTTGGTGAAACAACACGGGGAAATGCAAACTGAAGGAGCACAATTCTGCCCTTTTAAAACTTCTGAGTGCCTGACTGTGTGTTCTTCCAATATACACGGCCCTTTTTAATGTAAAAAAACCACCTATAGTTCTCTTTTTAGCCACTTCAGCCCTTTTTAATGTAACCACCTATAGTTCTCTTTTTAGCCACTTCTTTTGTATGATAGATAAGTCAATTCTCTTGTGCTATAGAGCTTTTTATTGGTAGCTCGCTGATTTGAATCCCAGAGGGGTTTCCCTCCTGGGCTGGAAGTTTCCTTTGATGTTTTGTGGTGCCCCCCCAGGAGGAGGCAGGGTGGGCCTTCCACCCCCCGCCGCCTTGACCCCTCCACGGGCTCTGCCAGACAGAGTTAACACAGACAACAGGAACAGACGGGCCTGGAAAAAAATGAACAAATCTGTCACTTTTACCAGAAGCCCTATTCCTCAGGCAGGAGGGGGGTAGGCTGGCAAGGGGGGCCAGGGGGGTGCAAAGTTTCCTGGGCCAGACACCCTCGTTGCCACAGACGATCAGTCTTGCACACTTGACTAGCAGCGTAGCACCCAGCTCCTCCAGTTCTGGCTTTAATAAAGTAACACCAGCCATGCAAATTAGACATTACTTCATTTTCATTAAATGTCACATGCGGCGCTAGGCAGTTGTGTTGATTTTCTCTGTATTGGCAACAGCCCCTGACTCGCACTGGGAACAAAGAAGGATGCTCAGCAGGAGGATGTAGGTACTGATATATAAGAACATCGCGTAATTAGTGATGTGAGGCAGAGAGCTCCCAAGCTAGGAGTGCAGATTTGCAAATCCAGATGTTTACAGAGGGCCAGGAATTACATTACCCCATCTAATTACAAACCGCCTTGTTAATCAATGTCATTGAGATACAATAGGGCAATTGTCATTCAGACACAATGGGAATGGTGTCAAGGAATTAACAAACTGTAATAGATGTTGTAGATATTAGACTGAAATTAATGTATTTGTCAAGCAGAGCTCTCTGCTTGTTTGATGTTTGCTTTTAAGAAATACTTCTGTGGGTAAGGAGAAAATGTACAAACAATCCATTGCACAGTAACTAAACCACGACCTTGATGTTGCCAGACTGACCACAGACTATTAGTTTGGAGAACTCCCCTAATGTTTCACCCATGGCCAAAACAAACAAACAAACAATTTAGAAATAATCCAAAGGGGGGAAAAAAAAAATATCAATGGAATCATCTTTGTAAGTCTCTGAAGAACCACTTCAGGACTCGTTACTGTCCTGCTCAGATCAGGAGAGGGTTGCTTATTTTGTCCAAGAAAAAAATTATGAAGAGACCAAAGTAACCTGGTTTTTACCTCCTACAGAAGCAAGTTTAAAGCTCAGGGGTACCAAACTGTTATCTGTAGAAATCAAAACATAGTTTAGCCACAAAGCAGTTTAAATCATGAACTGCAGCATCATTACCTGCCCTGAATTACACTCTCAGTGAGCCTTAGTCCTGTTTTAGGAAAATGATCCTTAGAAACTCAATATCACTAGACTTTAGCTTCACTTATGAAGAAAGCCTCTAAGGGGGGCAAACATAAGCTTCTCTGAAAACAAGTACAGAGAAATCTACTGGAAACCTTTATTTTTCCTTCGAGAAAATAATTTATCATGAGTTTAGCTAGCTGTGTATAAAACCACCTTTTCACAGACTTCTTGCCTTTTGATTTAATCCTCGTTGAGTAAGAAATGGAAGGTCTGGCCCATAACTGGATAACTTATATGAAATGCAGTTTGTTCACAGTTCTGAAAATGCGGTTTGTTCACTGCTATATTAGTTTATGAACTATAAAGAGCAAAAAGCAATTCAGGGATTTATATATGCCCATATAAACGTAAGATACTTGTCTTCCCAAGCATCTGCTGGGATTCTGTACAAAGTCTGAAGATATGTGAGAATGAGATTTAGAGCAAAGCAGCTCCTGGTGATCCATATTTTGCACTATCTACAACCAACTAATTTGCTGTTGTAAGAGAGATTTGCATGTATTTATGGTGATTTGCTTACGGTGTCACCTTCAGCTTCCACAGCAAGCAATTAAGGTATTTCAAAGAGCAGACTGAGTTCAGTGAGAGAGCACACACAGCAGGAGCAGATCAACTGTTAAGGTGCCATCCAGCAGAAATCATCTGTAACGTTCCACACCCTGGAGAATAGGGAAAGCCACAGGGACCTGCCGTGCCACACGCCTGTCAGCACAGGTCGTAGGCAGCAGAGAAAGGACAGAAAATGGCACAGATGGGCTGGCTCCATTAGGTGCCAGGGGAGAACACCACCAGGACCAG